CCCCCATGGAGCACCTTGGCCTTCAACCAAGACAGAAGCTGGATGCAACTCCCTCCGGATCCACTGACCTCACCAACCACGGCACCGATGTATGTCAACTGGGATGTTGGCACTTACTCTTTATGAGATGGAGCCACCAGCCAAAAAATCACAGGGCACAGACATCAGGACCTGGGCTGGCTACAGGCCAGTGATAGGAAAGAGCTGGCCATGTCCAACTCCTATCTGGCCTCAAGGATCCAGTTCCAGTTTCTGATATGTGGCCGGAGCCAGCATAGCGACCCAGGCTGAGTAGGCAAAGCCCCGTCATTAAACTCTGATGGGACCCTATCCACAATGGTTCCTTCTGGGGCAGCAAGTGCATCTCCTCCCAGTTGAGCCAGAGGTGCTTAGAGAGGGTCATGTTTACTTTTACTATCCTAATAAATCACCCAGGCAAATAAGGACATCATCACCTTCTCTAGCAGCAGGAAATTCAGTAAATGCAGGACTAGAGATTTTTATTTACATTTGGATGGCTCGCATCTAAGTTTGTCCCAATGGCTCCCCTCTCTGAGTTCTTTCAATACCACAAGGACTGCGGCCAATCTCTCCAAAGTGCCAGACCCAGGGCACCTAGCCCTGTACAGGAGGGTAAAGTCTCCTCCATGTCCTCATCCCCAATAATCGCAACTTTTGAACCTTTTCTCTTCATCTACAATGGACACATAACACACTTGTACATATGTAATGTGTACGTGTCACTTCCCCAACAAAAGCATATTTCCTGGAAGGGCAAAAGTCCAATCACTCATACCTCCTGCACCTAGTCTTGAATTAATTAAAAAATGAACATGTGTGCTTGTCAGTTGATAACATCATAGAACTTCATAAAGCAACCTAATGTAGGTACATCCTCCTCCACAACCATGCCTGTGCAAATCCAAGGAGACAAATCAACTCTATCAAGACTGTCCAGAAAAGTAATAAGGATAACAATAAGTAATTTCTTAGAACCTAATAAGTGCTAAATTTAAGACATTTGACATCTACCTCATATCATAATCTTATAAGGAAGGTATTGTTATTCCCATTTTACAGGTAAGAAAAATGAAGATGATAGGTTATAGAGAATACTGGAATTAGGATCTGTTGGGACACTGCTCTGCAAAATGCAAGGAGCTGCTGCCCTTAGCGCTGCCCGTCTTGACCACAATCTGGGTAAAGTTCAAGTCTCTAAAGCATAGAGTCAGTGGTGACACATGAGCCAGGAGGCCACCGGACTCAGACCACTCCTGAGCACCACATCCCGGGCAAAAAGTCACTACCCTGAGCTGCCTTTTGCTAAAGTACTGAGAAGAAAATTCCCATCCTTCAATTTTATTTAATCAAAGCAAAGAATTCATAAAAATCTGTAAGTGTTCATTCATCAGCAGATTAAATATTTGATAACCCTGCAGTTTAATTTTTTATGGCTCAGTGCATGGCGAGAACTGTTCCCTGGGAGGCCACGGCCATCCCAGGGCCAGAGCAGCAGCCAGCAGGGATGGCCGAAGCAGAGGCATGACAGAACTCCCTGCCCCCTGAACTGCCGGGACCTCCACCCCAGACCCATAGGGTCACAGCTGTCATCGTCTACGTTCTTAAATAGTATCTTTAAAAGACAAAAGGAGGATGTGTGGAAGGCAGGCTGAGGACATCACAAGGTCAGGGAGGAATCCAGGCGACTCAAAATGTCCAGGTCCCAGAAAGGGGAGGCAGCCGCCTCCTGTGTCCCATCCTATCATACACAGAGCGGAAACAGCCTCGGAACAAATGTGTGTGTGACACAGCATAAGGGCAAAGTCATCCCATTCATCTTCCTGCCAACTAATAGCACCCTGGGATGTTCCAGACCTTTCACTCACCCCTTCCAAAAACACTCACGGTCGCAAAAGTCTTCCTCACAATACGCTTTAGCCCACACGAGGCTGGGAGACTATAGAGAAAAAGTGGAATTTGGAGGCTAGAGTGGTGCTTCATAGCCTCAAACTGTTTTCTCCAGAGCAGCAGAAGGTTTTTCTTACTGTCCTTTGATTACCTTCAAAGTGAAATTCCAGAAGATTTGATTTTTCTCTACCCTAAATGCCCAAATTGAATGCATCATGACCCTCCCCACCCACCCACACACACATTCCCTCTTCTGCCTCTCTGCCCACCATGGAAAGAAGATTCAGCTGATACCCAGTCACCATCCATCCAATTAATTTGTTCAAGGGTTTAGAGGGGCCAGGAGAGGCAACTTTTGCAATGCAGCAGCCAGCAGAGATTTCTGTTTTAATTTCTTTTTAATTGGCTGCACCACTAACAGCATATCAGAAATCTCTCAGCTCACTCCTCTCCTCCGCTCCCTTCCACTCTTAAAGGGAAGGGACATCCTGGCAGTTTGCAAAGTAGAGAAATACCACAATAGAGCCCAAGTTATTTTTCCTGCTCCCTATTCATCAGCAGCCTAATGAAAAGATGTGGCTGTGACAGGCTCTCACTTCATCAACGTGTGGCTCATTGAGACAGGAGACCATGAGGAAAGTGGAGCACTCCTCCCTCTGCGTGGTAAATGGCAGGGTGGAGGGTTTCTTCTCCTGGGATGTCCCAGGGCTACAGACACCCTTGCAGGGCCCGCTGTAGTCTCAGGAGAAGCCAGGAACCTTCCAGCAGCCTGTGATGGCCAGCTCTGGGCATCCCTGGTGATAGGTGTGTTGTCATTGGACATTGTCATGGTTAAAAAGTGGGAGTGTGTGGGGAAGGGAAAGTTGTTTGCCTCATTTAAGAATCTGGTGAAATTATGGGCAAAGCTTATCTGTGCACAGGGGCCTTTCAAGTCACAAAACAGCACTGACACATTTAAAGAGAGGAAGCAATTTATTTGGTGTCTTGGCATGGTCACCCAAGCAATTATCATAATGACTAAAGGACTGCTGGATGGTCACCCCTCCCCTCTCCAAGAAAGAGTTTTTATGACTTGCTGTTGACATTTTAATAAAGGAGCAATATCAGACCACAGGGGAAAGCAAGGGGAGGCAGGACCTGACCTGAGAGGATGGGGGCAGCAGGGTGAGGGACAGAAATGGCATAGAGAGAAAGCAAAGTGGTTCTTGGGACCACAAAAAGCCTTCTGTGACCCAGCCTATAGGTCCTGCCTGGTGTGACTTTTGACTCTCTAATTTATTACATGAAAGGAAAGGAGGTATTTTCCAAAAGGACAAAGTAAGAGCCACCTCATTAAATAACTATCTAGAAGTTTCTCATACTTGATGGGAATTTCACAAATTACACAGCACTTTAGGCACCTTATCTCATTTGATTCTGTTGGATGTGTGCTCTTAGCCACAGTTCAAAGACATAGACTTGCTCAAGGTCACAGAGCTAGGGGATGAAGGAATTGGGAATTGACATTTCTGGGCCTGCTTCTTCCAGAAGTTGCTGCCATCCATTGCAACCCAGTTAATGAGAAAGCAATAACTGGAGCTAGATATTCAGTGCTTCTATATGCTGTGTGTGGTACAAAGCACTTTATAGCAATTATCTCCTCTTTTAATACTCACACTAAAGTTGGAAGAGAGGTGTTCTAACCCTCATTAGTCAGAGGGGAAAACCAAGGCCTGGGACCATTAGTAACTTGTTCAAGATCACATAATCATAGCAGAGGCAGATTCAAGACTCCATGGTCCTGCCAGTGTTCCCCAGTGTTTCTCAGTTTCATCTATGCATCAAATCCCTTGAAGGGCTGGTTAAACAAGACATGTTAGACTCACCCCACCCCACACCCAAGTCTCTGATTCTGGAAGTCTGAAGTCAAGCCTCAGAATTTGCATGTCCACCAAATTCCCAGGTGATGTTGAAGCTACTGGTTCAGGGCACCCACTTTGAAAACCACTGCTCTATCTCATGCTGCCTCCTGTTAGCCATCACCCAATATGTTCATGCTGTTAGAGATGGAATGAGGTGTGCAAAAAATGTGACTGCCGGAAGCTACCTCCCCGGGCACAGAAAGGCTCTCTTGAGATTTGTTACCATAAATAGAATACACATCATCCACAAAGAGACTTAAACACCATCTGCATTAGTTAAACATCAACTAAGGGATGTTCTAAGCCAATTTATACTACAACTCACTCTGTTCTTTATCTGGACCTCCCCCTGCTGCAAGTGATTCTAACATCTATCCTCCAGTTAAGAGATCTCATTATCATGAAAATAGCTCTTCTTCAGAAGCCTGGGGAGCACTCTGGACGAGCAACCCCATCAGTGTACACTCCCCATATGTGCACAAAGGTATGTTCATCAGATGCTATACTATGTTAATATATACTTTATGAAATGCACCCAGAAAAAGTCATTTTAAAGGATGTCAGGGGTGAGGAGAGATGGTTTAATCTTTCTTTCCTACATACTGAAGGACAGTTCTGCACATCCCACTTTGGAGACAGCTGGTTTAGAATTCAGGGTGCCCAATGAACAATGAATGGGACCCCACTCCCAGGATCTGGTCCTGAGAACTTGCCAAATGTCCACTTGCCTCTGCTGAATAGCTAGCTGTGCTCCATGCTTCTGGAAAGGTGAGTTCTTTCTCAATACTTTCAGCTCCTGGAGTGCACACACTGTCCTCAGAGTTACTCCAGAAGCCTCCGCCCAGCATAAGAAGCTTTCAGTCCAAATTCCTAAATAATAAAAATAATAATTTCTGATTGTGGGGTCATTTCTCCAACAGAAGATGAGCTATTTTTAAGAGTCCAGAGAGAAGACTAAAGCCTGTAAAAGCTGTATCTTAACGTGGCAGGAAACAGGCTCAGTCTCCTCAGTAAGCAGGGGTGAGGCTAGGGGCTTGCTGCATGCTCTACCCCTGCACCAGCATCCTCACCTGTCACCTAGGAGAACACGAGGCAGTCTGAGGTCAGTTCCTACACTCCAGGGCTCTGCAGTCCCACTGAGAGAGCGCATTGTGATGACAGCAAAAGCAATGATAGTGAAGAGGAGGAGGAGGAGGGGAGGGGAGAAGGGAAGAGCAGGAGAGGAGAGAAGAGGAGGGGAAGAAAAGGGGGAAGGAAGAGCAAGGAGAGGGATGAAAGGCTGAAATAACAAATGCAGCGGGACTGTGCGGAGAGCACACGCTCCATCAACACTGACTATTCGAAACGTGACCGTTTTCCATCTGTTATGAATTGAAGGTATTTTTAAAGAACAGCTCACGCGCTCTCTCTGCACACAGTAAGTGCTCCACAAGCGGAAACTGTTGTGAATACTTGTGTTATTAATGTGGGGGGCTTGATTCTGCTCTTGTCTACCAGTCCTAAAGCTGGGGAGGACAAGAGCAAGGCTATGTGGGAGAAAAAGTCACAGAGAAGGCAGCCCTGGCCCCAGGCAGAGCCAGAGGGTTTCTCCCGGCCCTGTTCAGAACAAGCAGCTTGCTTCTCCTTTCTCAATTTCCAGCTGGAGCTCATAGCCCCAAGCAGTAACCATGGAGAGGCTGCCTCCCTCCTCAGTTCCCCCAAGTTCTGAAGGTACCCAGACCTCCTTTTCGTGCTGCAAGGACGTATCCCTTCTGGCCACAAGGAGTCCCAACTAAGCATCAGCTCAGGATCACTTAAGGCACTTAGAAAAGAACTTTCTGTGAGCATGGCTGGCTTCAAGAATTTCTACAGGTGAAATGTCAGCAGCAGCATTCCCCATAAACTCAAGCAGGGGGTGGATGCTGGAGTTCTGGAAGGATGCCATCCTGCTTACACTGGTCTTCCTTCAGGTCGGTGACAGAATTAGGTATTTCTAACAGAATCCTAATCAGGAAGCCTCCACAAACACATGGGCTGAAATTCCACCATTAGGCATTCACTTCTTTGACTCTAACATCTTTACTTCAGGGAATGCCTTTTTTAGTTGCTTACTATGTCCCCAGAACCAAAACCCACTTAAAAAAGAAAGGCCCCTCAGCCTCTATCCTTAGGGATCTCACAGGGCAACTGGGGAGAGAAGTGCAATGCACAGAGAGAAAGACATATTATCACAATGATCCACGCCGTCTCCCAAACATCTGCTGCATTTTTTTAATGTGAATTCTCCTTAAAAGTAATTCAATTCATTGGTGATTATTTTGAATGTACAATTCCTTTGCTGTATTGTGAGTTCCTTGAGGCCACTTTTATGATTTCAACTTCCAAACTTGGTGCATAGGGCAAATTAAGTATTCAGTGAAGATTTATTTAGTTAGTTAATTAATGAATGTTTTAATAGAAGTAAAACTGAAATGCAAGTCATTTGAGAAGGCCAATAATTTAAGCCAGCAGTTCTCAAAGCATGGCCCTGGACAGGCAGCATCAGCTGGGAACTTGTTAAAATTGCAAAGTCTAGTCCCCCCTATACCTGTGGAGCCAGGAACCTGAGGTTGATGTTGTTCTCTGGTTCAGCAAGGCCTCCAGGTAATGCTGATGCACACTCTAAATTGGAGAAGCAGTAATTTTTACCCTTAAAATAAGGCATTTCTCCCAGAGGAATCATTGTGCTCCTCTCATTCATGGATTCACTATACACTGCATTAGGCACTCAACACAGGCAAGGCAGGTATGTTCACTGACCCTCAGGAGACCCACGAATGTCCAGAAGAGCAGGCAATATAGCAAATCCCCTAAGCAGTTACCCCCAAAGACCCTCAAAGTCTTCTCCCAGTTAACATGAAGAAAGGCCACTGTGCTGAAGTGGTGTCCAGCTGGCTGCCCTTCAGGAACAGCTGTGGGGCTGAATTCCCCAGGTAAGCAGTTGGGGAGAAGGAACAAATGGCATCATGACACACAGGAGCAGAGGGTAGGGAGGCAGAGTAGCTGGGGAGGGACAGCAGCCCATACACTACCCACCCCATGGCCCCCTAACCTGTCACTGGCCATGAGTACCTGACCTCTAATGGCTTTGAAGCCCAGTACCTGGACTGGGGAAGAAGCAGGGCTGAGAGAGGAGGCAGGGCAGGGCGAGGCTGAGATGGTGAGGCTGAGATGGTGAGGCTGGTATTCCCTCCTCCAAGCCTGTTGACAGCCTCCACATGTAGGACTCCTCTAAACAAAGGGGCTTGGGTCATAGGAGCTGGAACACTGGCCCCCCAGCGCAGAACAGCTCTGTGGGTGCTTCTCCTCCCCTATCCCTTCCCTTTGAGATAACGGCAACTGCTCAGCTCTAGCTTCAGGGCAGGCCCCAGGCCCTGAGGCCTGGTGGGGACAGTTCCTCAGTGCTAGAAAATACCATGGCGCAGCTGAGGGGCTGGTTGACCACAGCCCAGGTGCTCCTTGGACCAGGTGGCAGTGTTCTCTTGAAAGCAGTGGAATGGAAAGGACACTCTGCTCCCAGGTTCAGAAGCACAGTTGCAGAACTTCCCCAGACCTGGTGTTCCAGGGACACACTTCCTGACATGTCACTTGAACTACTCTCTATTTATAAAAAGGGACACTTGACCACCCTCTCAGTTTGCAGGCCTCCATTTACCCAAGTGCGATGACCAGTCCAGCATAGATAACCACAGGTCAGAAGGTGGCTGCACCCGCTCAACTCTCAGGATCACCAGCCCTTTACCATTTCTGCTCTCTAGGAAGAGGCCTCAGAGTGATTCCAGGAGTCTCACACAGGGGTGGGAAGGTTCCATGAGCTGTGTGTGCTCCCTCAGTAGGTAGAGGTCAGAGGTAAAACGGGATGCCTGGTTACAATGGAATTTCAGAGAAGTGACAAATGATTTATTAATTTAGTAGGCCCTAAAGAGTGCGTAGCTCCAACTTAAATTAAAAAGAAATATATCTTGCTTATCTAAAATTCCAATGTAACTGGGCATCATCTAATTGCTCTTGCTATAAATCTAGCAACCCTACTCAGTCAGCAAGCCCTGAACAGTGAGACTTGACTTTCCCAAAGCAGAATGCAGGGAACACAAGAGAAAGTGCCTTGAAAGGAGTAAAGTGTAACATAAGCCCTCAGTAAAATGATCCAAGTCGATGATTTGCTTTGCACAATGAGATGGAGAACCAAGGTACATTACGAAAAGACCCAAAGCAACCAACTCAGCTTTGGGTACCAGCTTCAGCTCAAATGTCACCCTGCTAAGTCACTTCCCCCTGCCAGGGGGCCTGTTCTCTCATCTTCAGATAAGGATCAGCTTTCTCAACCCTGACATTATGGATGTTTTAATTCAAATAGTTCTTTGTTGTGGGGATTGATGTTTAGCAGCATCCCTGTCCTCAACCCACTAGATGCCAGTAACATCCCACCCCATTAGTGCTAAATGTCCCATGGGGGTGGAGAAGGGACACACTTTTTGAGAATCACTGAATTAAATCACTATATCCTGATGGCAAGTGTGAGTGAACAATTTTCAACTTACATGTGTTTGTGATAAATATTCCTCTTAAATATCCAGCTCCCATCATGAATCTAACATAGGATACGAGTTACTAATGACTAATTCTATGTAAACTTTTTAAATGTATCCCCCCACCTTATCCCAACTCCAGCATTGAGAAATCAGCTTAACCAGTCCCCAGCAAGTGACTCTACTGTTTGATGGTCCCACAGAAAGCAATGATGTGATAGTGTTCAAAAATGGAAGTTCTATCAGCCTGACTGAAGGTGATGATTGTGGGAACTTCTCAGGCAAAGAGTTTTTATTAGTTTAATATTAATATAATGACTGCTACAATCTATAATGTCCCGTGTGCTTACTCAACACCAGATCACACTGGGACCTTATGTCATTTAATCCTCCAGACAGCCCTTGGATGTTAGTAAGATGCTTATTCACAATGACCAGTTGAAAAAAACAGGTCCAGGGGTTTGAACAATTTGCCTAAAGTCACAGAATTCACCTGACTCCAGAGCCTGTGGTCTTTGCACCATAGAAACACTCTATCACATCCAGCTCCTAGGAGAGCAGGGAATTCCCTTCTCCTTGGGCCTCAATTCCTGGTAAAACCCTCCTAAGTTTTCATCTCTAGGACTAAATCTCTAGGGCCCATAGAGGGCCAGCTGGCACAGCAATACAACCAGCCTAACAAAGATGCATTTCTCATCTGTGAGGTCACTTGGACCTCACAGAACTCCAGGCCCCAGGAGGCTACTACACACATACAGCACACTGACTTGTAAATGTTTCTTGACCTTGATTAGATCTTGACCCCTCTTTGGAACCCCAGGGCCATATCAGACACTCAATAAATGCTCGATAAATGAATCATATGTTCTTCCATTTCAAAGATGGGGACACTGAGGCCTACCTCTTTCAATGGAATTCATTAGCTAAGGGAAAACCATCCTCTGGGCCCCAGATTTCATTTGTCCTGCATCCAAAATTCCCCCAAATGCTGACTCACTTCATTTTCATAACCCCCATGCCCATCTGCATTATGAGTAAATGGAGAATTGATTGAACTTGAGCAATCTGGTTGTCATTGGCTCCAAGGTCTGGCCCAGTAAACACTGAAGAATTCCAGAGTCACAGCCTGGAATGAGGGCCTGGAAAATGGTGTGTGTGCCCTCAGTTACTAGGGCACCTTGAATGGGGTGCCTCACTGTTCGGTGGCCCAATTTCTCCTTGGACAGCTCGCTAAGAGAGCTTCCCCCCACAGCGTGCTATTATTACCTGGCACAACGAGGAATGAGGCCACCGCTACAATGAGGTCACCCTACCCCCCCAAGATTCTTCAAAATTCTGCTCCTCAGGGCAGGACAATGAGGCAATGTAGGGCAGCAGTCGCTCCAATTTGCCAAGGATCGGGGGATAGAGAGGGCATCTATAGGGTGAGCTGGTAAACAAGGCCCTGGGACACCAAGCGACAACTGGAGGAACCACAGAACAAAAGGGTATAAACTGTGGTCATCACCATATGGGGAAATGGGTGTAAAAATCTCACACTCACACACACACACACACACACACACACACACATGCACACACTCCATGGATTCTAATTTTAGCAGTCAATCACTTTAGCAAAGCACTTTCCAAGCAGTTATTTTGAGAAATGCTATTAACCACCAGGTTATTTTTAATGCCCCCTGTATGACAGGCATTTGTGACACAAACAGCAGCTGAAAGGCAGTAACATAACCTTGGGTGCGCCCAGGGTCTGGGGGCCAGGCCCTTGGAAGAGCAGACAGAGGAAATGGATGAGCATCTTATGTGCCCTCCAGTCCCTCCCTCTGTGTCCACCACTCGGATCAGCGGGGATGAGTGGCAAGATGAGAAGTCCTTCCCATCCGTGGCAGTCTACTTGCTAATGGGCCAAAAGTCTTTGAAATGAGCTTCAAGAGCTCACACCCCTCAGTGTCCCACCTCCCATGGGACACAGGTCAAAATCCACATATTAAGTCCCAAAGCCAGAGTTCTCACAACTCTTCTCTGGGGACCCTGGCCTCCTCACTCCCTTTTCGCATCTCCTCCCCATTGAATGGGCTGGCCCCTCACTGGAACACTCCCTCCCCAACTCTCCTAATCCAGTCACACTGAGCTCCACGCTCTAAACAATTACCATAAATGAGCTGTGTCTCCCTGTGGCCATTCCATATCTAATAGCATTTTGGTCACCTGTGCTGGTAGCTCCTTATGATGTGCCTGGCCCCCTACCATGTCCTTTACAAAGTTGAAGAAGTTCTCCTAGGAGTCTTACTTGGTATCCTCATCACCCCAATTTTTCAAACAAGGAAAATGAAGTATAGGAAAGTTGTCCAAGGTCTCATAGATGGGTCTACACAAAGTCACAGAGCATGGTTGCTGCAAGCACAGATCTGGGCTGGACTGCCTGCATTCAATCCCAGCTCTGCACCTTGGAACCATGGACAGTTCTTTACAACAGGCCTGTGCCTTGGTCTTTCTTTGGGTTCCTATGAAAATGAAATGAGTTCACACTTATAAAGCCCTTTCAAAGATGCCTGGCACACAGACCAGGCATTTTCTCCAACAGCTTCTATCACTACAAAGGAAGTGGAAGGACCAGAATGTTTTAAAGCTCATATTTATTGGATGTTTATAAAGTGCCATGCATGATACTCACGAAAATCCTATAAATTTTTGCAAAGAAATTAAGAGTAGGTCAGAACTAGTAAATGGAGATTTGAATGACTAGTTGAACACAGTCTGGGTTTTATCTAGAATCCTCTGCTGGTTGTCTTGTCTCCCTAAAAACAGTGATTGTGTCTTCACATTACCCACAACTCTTGGCATTGAGTCGGGCCCTTTAAACAGACTCAATAAGTATGCTAGGTTTCATGTAAGGCTCTCTAAATGGGGGACCCTGACTGAAGATCAAGATCCCTACCCCCTCCCAGGGTAGCCCTAGCTTAGCTTCCCCTTCAGCACCCTCCCCAGACAGTGCTTGGAAAGCAGAGAAATGGTGGCAGAGCAGGGAGTGGAGTTCAGATGGCAACGAGCTGCCCACAGGCACCCAGGGCCCAGAGGTCAGGAATTTGGGACAGGCCAGCCTCTGAGCTGGAGAAGTCCCGGATGGTAAGACATCACACGTGAGCTGGAGGCAGGATGGCAGAGAGAATACAAGCCCAACCAGGCAAGACAGTGAGTGAATTATGTGTGTGGTTCAATTTTAGGCACCAGGCAGATTTGTAAAGCTCATCACCCTCCTAGGGTTGCCTGCAAAAGGCCACACATTTAGCACCATGCCCATCAATCAGCACAGGAGGGCAGTGCATGCCCAAACTGGGGTTGGGAGCCTGGGGGCTGCAGCAAAGAGGCTATCCCCATCCTGATGGCTTGTGGTATTCGCTGAAGACACAAGTCTGGCACCTATGAGACAGAGAACACCCACAAACACAGAACTCTGATATGGTACCCATCAAGTTCTCAGATTTTTATGAACCTACTATATGCCAGGAGACACCTGAGTCTAGTTCTGCCATGAAACACTGAGCAAATCACTCCACCTCAGAGTTTGGTTTCCTTGCCTGCACAATGAGGATGATATGATAGCCATCCTGCACAGGCTTGCTGAATAAAGCTGAAGGAGGCAGCCCCATGTGAAGGCTGGCTTCTGTGCAGAGAAAGGTCCTTGCCTTCTGGGAGCCTGTAGGTGATATAAAGGGGGTGGGGTCAAATGTTGGCAAGATAATAACCACAATACAGGGCTGGGGGATGAATAGCAACTGACTAGGTCACTCCACAGCAGGAGACAACGTGGAAGAGGTGTTTGAATGCTAAAGAAGTAACCATATCGTGCTTGATTTTGAAAGGTGGCTTCAGTTTAGTGGGGGGGGGGGGCTCACCCCCCAGACAGTAAGCTCCCCCAACAACATAGTCCTGATCTTCATTACTCAGCCCCTCCTTAGCTTAGCACCAAGGACAGGCTAGGTGCCTAGGACATGCCGAAGGAGAGCGTTGTAGGAGGAGGCTGGCCAGCTGCCTGGCTGGGCTGAGCACACACATTCCCTGGCCGGGTCGTTGTGGCTGCCGCCAGACCCTGCACTAATTTCAGTGGGGGCTGCTCAGGAAGGTACAGTGGGAGGAAAATTCCCAGAAACAGGTCATGAAGGGGCAGCCTCTGCCTGTAGGAGCTACCAAGAGTCCAGAAGCTCAGAGAGCAGCATCTGCCACCCAGCTGGGGAGGTTATCATCCTCGGTGTCAGGAGGTGATCCACGGGATCCTTTACCTGGATGTTTGCAGGGAGTGAGAAGTGGGTTCTGGAATGCTCAGTGAATTCATCTGCCCAGGGCTGCCTTAACAAAGTACCACAAGTTGGGGCTTAAACACAGAAATATGTTGTCTCAGTTCAGAGGTCAAAGTGTAACAGGGCAGTTTCCTACTGAAGGCTGTGGGCTAGAACCTGTCCCTACCTCTGCCCTGTCTTTGCTGGCACCCCTTGTGTTGTAATTTATTGCCCCAATCTCTGTCCTTATCTTCACAGCTTTCTCCCTGTGTATGTGTCTGTGTCCAAATTCTCCTTTTCTGTAAGGACCAGTCCTAGGGGATTAGGGCCCATCGTCATACTTCACCTTGACTTGATCATCTGCAAAGATGCCATTTCCAAATAAGATTATGAATAAAATCCAATAATGTACTGGGAGGACTTGCGGTGGGGAGGGGGTTCAGAGAACTTCAAGATCTTTCAGAGGGATGGAATTCAACCTTTAATACCTGTGTCTCCCAAAGGGAAAATAGTTCAAAAAAAAAAAAAAAAAGTCAAGTTGGATTTCCCAACATTACTATTGCACTGGGGCAGAGTTCCAAGAAGTAGACTAGACATTTGAAAGGACTTCCTGGCACAGCCACTGCCCCTAGCCCAGCATGGCCTTTGTGGTCGCATGCTCACACTGCAGTGATGGACTCCTTGCTGGCTTCCCTGACATTGGGCTGCCCCTTCTACGCCCTCCAGCACCATGCAGCCCAAGCTTCAATCTCACCATTGAGTCCCACTTCTTTGGGCCACTGTCCTGCTCTACAGCTGCCCATGGTTGCCCACTGCCTAGGGGACAGAGGTGGATAGCCTGTTATCTTCTGCACCCCTGGTGATAGGCACCAGCAAGTACATTAGCCAGTGAATGACTATGACTTTGACTTCTCAGGCCATTTCCTCCTGGAGGACACACACAAAGCTGGCTCGGTGGCTGGTGCAGGTGGACACTGGTGGCTGTGCTCTGACCTCAGCCTAAAAGGTGAGTGATGGAGGGACCCCACGCAGTGCAGAGGGTAGGAAGAGACCCTAGACCAGAGCTAGATCTCTCCTTTCCCTGAGGAGGAAATAAGACTGCTGGGCCACCTCTGCCTCACACTGTATTTTCTCACAGAAGCCTGCCAGTCTGAAAGTCTTCCTGCCTGGGAAGCTCACTGGCACCAAGGCCGGCAGAGACCATCTGCCCAAGATTCTTGTGAACACCAGTCTGATATTGAAACATAGACCTCCTTGGAAGCCTAGAAGCAGAAGGCAGCAGAAGGCCTACTTGGGTGTGGAAGATCTTGGGTGGCACTTAATCTCCAACAAAGATGCCTCTTCCCTGGCCGGGGGCCCCAGCACATCTTTGATAGAGCTGTCCTCACCTGACCACAGCCTGGACAGACCCTCCCGTACCACCTTAGTAACAACAAAATCCTCTCTGTCACCTTTCTGGTCCAGAACCCTCACCAGAGCATAGGTTATTCACCTTATGACTGTTAAAAGAATATTCCAGAAAAAAAAGTGCATTTCAATAAAAGATTTTGAGCCCTGCCAGACCAGGAAGCACCTAAAGCAACACCACGTTTCCTGACTGACTTCATTTAACAACAGCATTGTGAGGGAGCTCTGGTCATTCCCACTTCATAGGAAAGCTATTCAAAATTTCAAAAGTTTTCCAAGCTGTGACACTAATCAGGAGCCCGATGCCGCCCTCTCCACCACCATAGACATAATTCCTCCACTCCTGCTGTCTGCCCACTGCTATCTCACTCTCCTTCCTCACCTGAGCCCTGCCCCAGCCCATGCTCTTCTTGCCTTCCTTCTCCTCACTATGTCATCACTATCTACTCTGCTGGCAAAGCAAACAAAAGCACCAGTGTCCCCCACGGGCTATGCGAGGCCAATGCAGACAGCAGTAACACTTGCCTGGGTAGTTAATCACTGATCTTAGAGTGTCCTCTCTTTTCTGTCCTAGCACTCACTGGAAAAAACTTGCAAACTCACTAAGTTTTTGAAGCAAGCGGTGTTTCATTATCAACTGTCATTAGGAATAATCTAGGTGCAATGCAAAAGACCAGGTTTGCATCCTTCCTTAGTGTGGGAGCATGTCACATTGGTGCCTCTGAAGAAACAGGTAGAAATGACTGTCCACTAACTAAACCTCCAGGATGTGCCTGCACTTAGTCCAGACACAGGTGGATGTGGAAATAAACACCAAGTTCATGCCCCTTGACAGTGACTGAGCTCACATACTACATCAATTCTTGAATTGTAATCAATCCATTCCTGAGCCTTAGAAACCCCAGAAGCATTTCTGAAATCCAAGTTCTGAAATCCAAGTTTCTAGCCTTAGACCACTTCTGGCCTAAGACCTGCTCTTTTTTATAGTCTCCTTTTCTCCTGAAGGAGAGCTGAGTTCAGTCTGACTTAGATCATCAGGGCCATGCTGTCACAGAGTCATAGAATCTGAGGCTGCAATGGCCTCATCCAACTCAATGTCAAATCCATGGTCTGGTATTTTCCTGAGATCTGAAGTAGGAGGAAAGGAGAAAGAGGACGATGCAACTAGTAGGTGAGTAGAGAGAAGTTATCCAGAAGTAGAGACTCAGTCCCCGTCCCCACATTCATGAGCACAGACAGTGACAGGACAAAGGCCTGCCACTGGCTCTGAAGGGAATGGTCCATTTACAAGTCACCACAGTGACATGAGCACAGGCTTGTCATGCCCTCCTGCCCACACTGCTGCTGACATAACCAGAGAGTACAGCAGGCCTGGAAGCTGCAAACAGCTCAGAAAAGTAGGGATGGGTGCCACCCCTATGCCAGAAACCTAAAAGAATCTCTGAAAAAAAAAAGAAGTGATAAAGAGAGAAGGTAATAAGCCCTCTTGAGCTGCCTTGCTTGCAAGAAGTGACAGAACAGCTGTGCAGCAAGCAGAGGAGGCAGCTGAAGAAGATCACATCAGAGCTGCCCGGATTAGGAAGACTGGATGGGACAGTGAGCCAGAAGTGGGGCGGAGACACTGTGCACACCAGGCTCCTCTTGTCACCGAGGATCCATAGCAGCTTGTGTCAGCAGAGCCCCGGAAAGCCCCAGGAATCACATGGCAGGTACACTAAGGAGAAAACTGGCTGGGGACAGGGGTTTGTCCCTGATGTAGCAGGTGGCAGTTTCAGAAAGGACAAGTCCAAGCACAGTGTGTACCTGGCATGATGAGCAGGTCAAATAGCAAGCCAGATGTAAACAGTTGGCTCATGGTGCAATGGGCTCACCAAAGGCAGGGGAGAGAGATCACAGGGATTAAGTTTCCCTTCTGGTACTGCTCACTGCTCAAGCTCCCTCAGCCCACTTATAGTTTGCAAGATGGTGGAGGATTTCATTTCATCAACCAGTCCCCTAGCATAAGAGCCAAGAGGAGCATCCTATCAGCAGTGAGGTGAACAGCAAAGGACTCAGGATAACTGACCCTCCCTGTTTACAGGCAAACACTGTCTACATCCGGGGATGAAATACATGAACACCCACACCAGACCCCACACCCCAGCATTCTTTTTTTGAAAAAAATTATTTATTTATTTATTTATTTATCTATTTATTTATTTATGCAAGAAGTGGGGTACAGTCAGAAGCACGGGAGGGTGAGAGAATTTACCAGAGCCAAAGCAGGGAGCAGAACAGACAGACTGACGAATTACATTGCTGAGGGGAGCAGTGGGCATGGCAGGAGATGTCTGTGTGCCATGTGGGACCCTCGCCGGCCAGCCAGGGATCGAACTGGTGCTGCAGAGGCTGCAGGCAACTTCACAGCCAGGCGCTCAACCGCTGCACCACCAGGGAGGCCCCATAGCATTCTTAACCACAAAATTCAAAGAACATAGCACTCGAATGAAGAAAATATCTGGAAAAGAATGGCTGCTTAAGAAAGCATCATCATCGTGGCCAAGGGCACAGTCTCTGCTCTGAAACTGGCCATGTCTGTATCCAGCCCCACTCTCCTCTCCCCCATGAGGTTCAGGAAGGTTCAACCTCCCTGGTCATGTTTCCCCATCCACAGAGTGAGAACACTCAAAGGGCATACTGCTCACTCTTTTTGTAAGGATGCTCTGAGGAAATGCACACAGACTACCTAGCACAGTGCTGGGAACACAGTAAGTGCTCAGTAAACGATCATATGGTCAGTGGAGCACTGACACACCATGGAGACTGTGTCAGCAGTAAGAGTCAAGAGAACTTGTCTCTGAAACAATATTGCAGGGGAGAGACAACTTTAAAAAGCACTCTCAAAATGAAAAGGAGGAAACATGTAAGCAGTAAATGTGAGGTCTAAGACAGCAGATTATACAAAGCAATGACAGATTCTAGGGACAGGCATCCAATTCATAATGAACTGGATTGAAAAACTGTATTTTTCTTGAATTGAGAGACTTTGCAACATCAAAGATAGACTTAAGTCAAGAGGCTCACCGGTGCTGTGCGTGTATATCCTTCATGATAAAGAAGTATAAGCATCCAAGCAGAAGAAGGTGGATTACCTATCACAGAAAAATTCTGGCTGCTATTTGACTGCTCCCTGAAAAACCCAATAGCAGGACCAAGTTGTTATTCATAACGGAGGAAATAATGTGCCATATTTCAGAGTAACATTTTTCAGGAAGGTTATATAAGTGTTAAGCTTTTCATAACTATGACAAAGACATTAATCAAAATAAAGATTTCAATAATAAGGGATGTCCATGGTCATAAAGATCTGACAGTGAATACTAAGGTCCATTAGGTCTCGATAACTGTTGTAACTGTGATGTATCACACAACCAAATGAAAATTGAAAATAAAACTTCTTTACAGAGAAAATAAAAGTGAAAAACAAAATACAGTAACACAGTAGAGGTTTCTAATATGAGATTTGCAATAAAATATATAAATGTAATATTATAGCAATAGAGGAATAAAAAGAAAAAACTTAAGTTATTCACTAGACAAGGTAGGAAGTCAAAAGAAGTCATTTCACTCCTATGCATTGCCTACTAGAAAAACATGGTTGAAAAATATTTTCATATATCTGACAAACAACACAGGTGGAGCTAACATTCCAATGGGCTAGAGAAAAATAAGTTGAAAAAAATAGTACTTTGTAGCAAGCCAAAGGAGACTGCAAAGAAACATAAAAAACAGAGGAAAGTCAGAGGCCAAAACAATTACTTTTAGAATCATACAGATGATGTGCTTATTCACACACACATACACTATGAAATAAGGTAAAAGTGAAAGAATGGACCAAAACATAGCAGCAAAAGGAATGATGCCAAGTTGGAGGCACTGGTATCCAGAGCAAGGTATTTTTAAGACAAAAGATATTAAATTAGACAATGTAAGATGTTTTGATACTGATAAAGAGCATAACAAAGGGAATGTCTAAAGGTGAAGGACTTGATGCACTGAATAAGACAGCATCAAAGCATAACAGCAAATCACCAAAAATAAGAGATGACAAGGGGCAGGAGGAGAGTTTATCAAATGCTATTGCTCTTTCATAAATTAAATTGGCCACAACTAAACAGAATTATGAGTGATTACAAGATAACATTCAAGGGCAGGAGACTCCAACCATCCTGTTTCACAGGTAAGGAAATTGAAATGGGGAGGATGAATATAGAATAGTGGTTCCCAAAGTGGGGTCCCTGGCCCATGGCATCAGCATCACCAGGGAACTTATAAGTAATGCACATTCTTGGGCCTGTCCCAGACCAAATCAGAATCAGAAACTTCAGGGTGGGACCCAATCCTTCAAGTGGTTCTGATGCAGGTTCAAGGTTGAAAATCACTGATGAAGTGATTAAGCCCAAAAGCCCGGAGCAATCCCACCCCATTTAGTGAGTGCTGTGTGACTTCAGACAAGATGCTTAACCTCTCTGTGCCTCAGACTCATCAGGCATGAACTGACAGTGCCTCCCTCTTGGTATGGCTTTGAGGATGGGATGAAAAGACTTCTGTAAGGTGGTCAGGGTGCCTGCAGTGCGAGCTCTCCATAAAGACCCTTGCTCTGACTCAGGATACACAGCGGAGTCCACCCCTGACCTGAAACTGAACCTGAACCCGAACCTGAACCCAAACCTGGCATCTCTCCTGCCTCCCAGTACAGTGAGCCCTCTCCATACCCATTCCTCCAGACCTGTGCCCAGCGGGGCTACGCCACCCCCTGACAGGAAATGGTGCCATGTCATGGTTCCTCCCCTGCTGCATGAAGTGGTGCCACAGCCCCTCCCTGACTCTCTCCAGCAGGAGCCCAAGCTGAGTGATTCATCGAGCTTGTCATTTCAGGCCTCCTTCCCCCCACCCACATCGCCCTCCATCCCTGCCTCCCCCTGGTGAGTCTGCAGAGCCCGGCAGAGGCAGACCTGAACCTGGGCCCTCTCCTCTGCAGTGGAGAGAGAATCAGCATATGGGAGAGCCCCAGGCAGATCCCAGGGTGCTGCCTTCAAGCACCTCCAAATACCAGAAGCATTTACCACGGTGGGAGAGAACAGGGACAGGCAGAGGCCTCGGCCACGGAGCAAATTCCCTGTCTAGAAGCAGACCAAGGGCAGGTGCATC